CCCCCCCAGGGTAACTGCCTGATCGTGGCTTGTTGTGGCGATGATTTGTCAGAGCTCCTGAAATGTTAGGTAGCAGAGAGAGAAAGAGAGGGGAGGAATGAAAGAGTTTGGAGAAACACATTATACTTGCCACAGTCTGCCAACACATACACCATTACCACCAATACAAACAGCAATCCATGCACCAATACCCAAAGGAAGGAGGGGAGAAGGACATACCATCAGAGTCAGATCGGATCCGATAGTGTGGGACTGAAAGGCTCTCTCTACTTGGTCCCAGACCTGACTGCTGCCGGTGAGAGTGAGAGTGGGGAGGATGGTGACGATGGTGAGGGGCGGAGCATAGAGGGAGCGTGGTCTGAAGAAATCCCGAACACTCTGAGATCGATGAGAGACGGATTTACGCCAGTCGCTCCATCGTTTCAGTCGGAGTTGTGGGGTCACTGTGGGTGTGGTGTCCGGGAACATTGTGGGGCTGGTCACTTCCCTCCCGGCTCTCCTGTGCCACTGGTTGTGGGTGTGGTGGCTGGGCGGGACTGGTGGGTGTGGCTCCATCGACCTCCTCCCTCTCCTCACTCACCAACTGAGGCAGTCTCCCCAGACTCTGGGATCAGCAGTTGGTTGGAATTTTGGATGAGCCACCATTATGTCAGTGTATATGTGCAAGAAAAATTTGGTGAAAAACTCCACTCCAAGCTCAATACACGGAGGAAGACTCACTCTGACTGTGAGGACGAGGGTGGTGTAGGCTCTGAGGACAGCCACTGCCTCCTGGTGCAGAATGGAGACAAAACTGTGGCCGTTGACCCCCAGGATCTGGTCCCCTGAGTTCAGACCGGACCCCTCCGCCGGGGACCCTGCCTCCACCCTGCAAACACGACACACAGGATTAATGAAATCTTCTCTTTTCATCTCCATTCTCTCTGTTCTTATTTCTTACACACTTCTCTCTCCTCTTTCTCTTGCCCTCCTCTCTTCCCTCTCCTCTCTCCCTCCCTTCTCTACCTCAAACTCACTGTGATATGAATATTCCAAGGGAGAATTCGCGTCCACCACGAACGCTGAACCCCAGCGGTTGTTCCTCTTCGACCTTCAGCACCACTTTGTGTTTGTCTGGGGACTCCAGAAGTCGGTCTCCTTCCCGCTGGTCCTGCAAAGATCACATGACTGTCACGTGATCCAACAGACCTAGTCGCAGCTGACCTTTTCCATAGAGGTCGATAGTTCCTCAGCTGCCTCGCCATTCACTGGATTACCTGATGTATCAACCCTGTGGCCAAAATGAAAGTTGATTCTCTATTTTTCTACCTCAGCCTCAGTTTGCATCACTGTTTCTATACATTTCCATTTTTCTAAGTCTAGCTGGAGTGTTATAGCATTTGGGAAGAGCATAAACGTATGGCAAAATGCATTCTCTGCAGGAATGCAATGGGGTGCGTGTGCAGTGGCTGAAACTGACCAGATGAGAGATTTTCTCTCTCTGGGTATGCCTGGAATCTGGCCAACACTGGCCACTGACAACTGCAGCTGGTCGTGATACTTGAGGATGAGCACAGCGGACTGGTGGGTGATGCTCTCGAAGCTGAATCCATTCACACTCAGGATCATGTCTCCCGCGGCCAGCCCGCTCCTCTCTGCCAGCGAGAAGGGGTCCACCTGTGAGATGAAGATCCCAATCTCGTGCTCCCTGCCTCCACGGATGCTGAGTCCCAAGCCCCTTCCCTTGTCTCTCTGCAGAAATACACTCCTTACTCTCCGGACCCTTACACCGACGGCACCGTCTGGACCCTGTGTCCCAGCTCTTTGTCTCTGCTCCGCCTCCCTCGTCTCTCCTGGAGGGTCCGGGAGAGGAGAGGGAGGGTGAGCCATGCGGTTGTAGGGAGCCAGGTTGTCGAATTTCCTCCGGTCGTGTCTCGGGATGAGCTCTCGGATGCTGGGCAGCAGGTCCAGCTTCTCTGGCGTGTCCAGACACGAGTTCAGCGCCAGCATCAGCTTCGCCACGCTCTTGTACCTGTTGTACTCTTTGAGCGCGTAGAAGAAATAGTCCCGGTCTGCGGGCGGCAGCAGCTGCTCCACGCGGCTGTGGAACTCTTTTAGCCTCACCACCCGAGCCACGTCTTTGCGTATGGACGACATGTTCTCTCGCCTCGACTTGGCCAGCTAACTGTGGGTGGTGTGCTGTGCAAAAAAGGGGGTGTACCTCGACAGCCGGACACACCCACATTTGTGTGCATGCAATTTTTGTGGCTGCTCACAAAAAAGATGATGGGGTAAAAAAATGGCGGTGAGAAAAACACAAAAAGCGTGGTGCTGACTCAAAAAAGTGAGGATGAGTGAAGCATGTCTAAAAGAGGTTGGCCCTCTTTTTGAGGTCCAGCTGTTTCCATGGCTGCAGGGCCCGGAAACTGTCTCTGGCCATCTTGAACACTGACCAGAAATCCTCGTCTGACAGATAATGCTGTGGCACAATGACACACACACACGGAGTGAGAGGTGGCAGAAATGAAAGTTGTACACGTGTCTCACCTCCAGCTTTGTTCTGTCCACTCCTCTAGGTAGACGAACGCTGCCTATCAGCTGGATCTCAGCCAGGGGATACATCTTCTGCAGACAAAGACACAGTGGGCATGGGAATGTCCTGTGTGCAGTGCATGCAATAAGGGTTTGGGTTAACGCGAGCATTGTGTGTGGTCTCCTTCCAAGATCCTTTCCCATGTGTATGTGTAGGTACAGTGAATATTATGAAATTACGGGGTAGCATGTCTCCCACCCACTGATGTGATTTATATCAGTCGCACAGTAAGGGAAAGGGTATTGAGAGGAGTCGTGTGTTGAATTACTGTGGGTTTGTTGGAACTGGTGCCTCGGGACATCTGAACCTGAGAGAGTGAGCGATGGCCTCTGGAGAGTGTGTCTGCAGCAGAGAGCGGGCGAAGGATTGCACTCACTAACACGCACACCGTGTGAGCTAACCAGGAGGGGATGGAGTGGTACCAACACTTCTGGTTCTGGAACGAGACCGCGAGCCTTCGGAACTGGACTCTGTGTCTGTGTAACAACACGTGAGAGTATCCATCACTGACAAACAAAACAGCTTGAACACACAGAAGGTTATGTATATAGCACAGCTACGTATGTGTATTAGTATGATAGTGATCTAACCTGTGTGAATCCCCTGCTCAGCCCGGACCTTGTCGCAGTCCAAGTGCCAGACGTCGTCTCCAGCAATGCACATGTCTTCGCCCTCGTCGAAACTGAGCCCACACTTGCAGCAGTTGGCACAATCCGGGTGGAAACACTTGTCTCCTGCCTGCAGGGTGTGTGAGAGAGTGGTAAAGGTGTGTGAGTAGAGAGAGAGTGGTATATAGAGGTGCTATGGGGCACACTGACCTCCAATACTCTTCCAGTGATGTACTGACGGCACATTTGACACTCAACTCCGTACATGTTGTGGTAGCAAGTCTCACAGTAGGGATCTTCCCCTCTGGAGAGAGAGGAAAGTAGAGAGAGGGAGGGTGGTGAAGAGGGGATCTACTATGTTGGCGAGAGTCCCTCACCTGTTCATGTACTCGGCAGTGAGGAGCTTGTTGCATTTCGTGCAGATGAAGCAGAAGAGGTGCCAGTGTTTGTCGAGAGCTATCAGCGACTGGCAACTGTTGATTGACTCATTACAACCTGCACACTCTGCGATACAGAGGGAAAGACGCACATACATGTTGCTACAGTAAGAAATAGGACAAGGTGTGCTTACTGCCGAGCCTTGCTTTGACTGCGGGATTGACGTCTTGTATCTTTGAGAAGTCTAACAGAGGGTCGACGTGTTCTCCTCCGTTTTCCCTCTCCCTCTGCGAGGGAATTTCTGGCTCTTCCGACGGTCTGTCTGCCCGTTCGTTGGTCGGTGTGGACTGCTCCGAGTGTCTACTGTCGTCTGACCCTCGGTCCCGGAGTGTAGCGTTGGTACACAACTGACAGAGGATCTCCTGACGGTCGTTGTACGTGACAGCCGTGCCACTACGAATCTCATTTCTAGCAGGAACCAAGGAAAACAGAGTCAACAGACATGGAAAACGTGGTAGAGAGAGAGAGAGAGAAAGAGAGAGGGAGAGAGAGAGAAAGAGAGAGGGAGAGAGAGAGAGAGAGAGGGCTAGGCTAACTTGCAGCGGTCACAGGTGAAGCAGCGCGGATGGTAGGAGTTTCCGAGAGCTGTCACGACCCGACCTTCGACAAAGTCACCACACGTCTTGCACTTTGTCCCGTACTGGCTGTGGTAGTCTCCACTGCAGTAGTACTCTCCTTTCTTCATGAAATAGCCACCAGATGCCAGCAGTCGCTTGCACACTGTGAGGGTTGAATAGTAAGGCCTGGTGTTGGTATGGTGGAACAATGCAGTGAGATGTCCAACACTAGCTTCAGTTTGCAAACAAGCCACTCAATTACAGGCACTTCCACTGGGAAGTGGGAAGAGGAGGGAAAGATGGTGGGTGAGCTGGCAGGATGGAATGCAACAAGTCCTCCTTTCACGTGTATACAATCAGCTATATACAACTTCTTCCTCTATTCCTTTCCCTGCCACTAGCGGTGCAATAGGGAACAAGATCACAGGGTGTGCTATGGGGGATCACAGGATGTGCATACCTACATAACTAATGGAGGGTATATAGCAGTGGTAGGGGGACTTGGTTCTCCCAGCAATGGGAGGACATAAGGAGAGGGGGAGGATCTGCTGGTATGAATTCTCAAGCCTCGGACCATTTGCCCACATGCCAGGGAATGAATAACATTCTCTCCCTCTCTTCCTCTGTCTGTCTGTTTACACACAATAATACTACGACACAGGGTCATGGACTGACTGAAGCTCAGGAGGCACTTGTATACAAGAGGACAGGAAGTGATCTGTCAGAGAGCATGAAGCAACCGCAGCATTGGTTCACATACTAAAGGAGGATTGTATGCTATCATCAGTCAGCAGTACCTCAGCAGTACCACGGTGAAGACAAACAATGAACAGGACAACGTAATTGGGTAGCCTGTTGGCAAAGGTATTTGGCAGACTAATGGCCTCTGTGAATAGGATCACACAACAACCGGATAATGGTCTCGTTAACAAACCACTCTCACACTAGTAATTAAGGGAGGGGCGTGAGAGGTGCTGTGGGAGTGATGAAAATATCTCAAAAATTGACGGTAAGGGGCCATCTGCAGCCAAGAGGTCTACATTCCTCACATCCAAAAACAGAATGGGCAGAATTTCTGGCAGCTTATACCCCCACGAAACTTTGTCTCCCTCTCTGAGAGCATAGCTACAGGTGTGGTATATATACATAGTAGTTACTGCTTGTATTCTTTGTCATGCTTGTAGCTCAGGTGAAGTATACCCAACATAACAACGGTAATTTGGTTTTAGGTGTGTGTGGAACGTGGATACTAAGTGGTGTCGTGCGTACCGCTCACTTCACGCATGAGGCTGGAGTCAAAGACTTCTAGCTCTCGCCCTCACCTTTGCACGTGAAGCACTGGATGTGGAAATGCTTGTCCTGCACCTTGAGCACTTCGCCCGTGCAGTTGGCTCCACAGGAGTCACACGTAATGGCTGTAGGAAGAACAGGGAAGAGAGAGAGTCGAGCGTGGGTCACACGGCGAAGCGAATGCTCGCTCGTGAGCGCACTGATTTCAATCAGCTGTAGACATAATAGAGGAGACCTACTCGTATCACTTACTCATTCTCTCGTCTTAGCCTGTCTCACTAACACTTGCACTTCTCAAACGACAAAAGCTTTTCTGCTTGACAAAGGACTGCCGGACGCGATTGAATTCTTAGTGCGCATGCGTATTCAAAAAGCGCGTAAATATAAAAATGACGTCATCTATAATAGTTTTCATTGGTGTAATATTCATGGTTTCAAAAACCGACAGCAATGGAGTCACCGACGACTTGGCCAACAGCTGAAAATTATGGAGACGAGATGGAGAGGGAGGAGGAGGAGGAAGAAGAGGAAGAGGGAGATGAGGCCATCACCAAGAGGCTCGTCTTCGATTGTGCCGAGACGCTGTACAAGCCCGAGCTCCGTCGCAAGGTTGCCGCTGCCTCCAAGAAACAGTCCGTGCTCACGTACCTCAGGATCCGACCCAAGAGCCAGCGGGAGATCCTGAGCATGGACGCCTCCTGCCTCCACCTGCTCAACACGAGAGAGCTGCAGGCAGTGGCGCCCGTTTCTTCCCAGACCTTCAAGAACAAGACTGGGGCCAGGTGTCCGGGCGAGAGCACACAGCAGTTCAGCTTCACGCACATCTTCGGCGAGACGACCTCGCAGCGAGGCGTGTTCGAGGAGGCGCTGGTTCCCACTCTCAGGGACTTCTTCGACGGACAGAACTGCCTTTGTTTTCACCTACGGAGTAACAAACTCAGGTACATCTGTCAGTGAAACTTTACCTTGGGCCAGTGGGTATAATATTTCTGTCCTGCAGGTAAAACCTACACCGTGACAGGGACGCTGACAGCGCCAGGCATCCTCCCTCGATCCCTCGACCTCATCTTCAATTCAGTGAGCCCCCAGCAGATGAGTTCGTTGGAGTTGCGCCCCAAGAACTTCTCTGAAGCCATCTACCTCACCGAGGAGGAGGCGGCGAGCGAGCTCACCAGGAGAGAGAGCATTTTGAACAAGGTATGTGTATATCCCAGTCTGTCCCCAGACCTTCACAGGGGCCTGGGGAGGAAGCTACAATTGTGCAAGCATAAACGTGCACACTGGTAATAATATTCATGCACACACACAGCTGCCCACACAGTAAACAAGCCGCAATCTTCTCTTCCAAACATACACGTGTAAAGGCCCGTACAGGTGAAGGGATGAATGGGGTGGAAGAGGCTGGAGACACTGACACCAGCAGTAACATCAGCACCCTCTCCAAGGCCTCCTCTAACTACAGCAAGGTCTCCGAGCCAGGTAAACAGCTCTCTAGTAAAACAGAGGAGTGGAGAGTGGGAGACAAAGAGAGAGGAGGAGGGGAATAAAATAGTTTATCGATGTCTTCTTGTACATGCAGGAGCCAGTCTGTGTGAGATCCAGGTGCAGGATGGCTCCACCATTGACCTGGAGGACAGCGGCAACGTATGCTACTCTCTCTGGGTCTCCTTTGCCGAGATCTACAACGAGTTCATATACGACCTCCTGGCAGAGGAGCCGAACCCGAGCAGACGGCGCAGACCTGCTCTCAGACTGGCTGAAGACAAGAACCACAACCACTTTATCAAAGGTAAAGAAGTCCTGCGAATTATGGAACCCATCCCTATACTACTGTACTTAGTATCGAGTTCACTTCGAAGTGCCCCAAACATAAAGATTGCCCCCTTGAAGTACTGTGCATAGTGATGCAAAATTTGTGTGACCCAGTCAGTCCACCAGTCAGGACGAGAGAATGTGGTGGAATGAGATGTAGTGACAGAGGTGTGTGTGTGCAGGTCTGGTGGAGGTGAAGGTGGGGAGTGTGGAGGAGGCTCTGCTGCTGCTGAGGATGGGAGTGAGACACCGCCACGTGGCTGCCACCAACCTCAACTACCAGTCATCTCGCTCGCACACAATCTTCACCGTCAAGATGATCAAGGTTTTGGCAGGCTCCGACAAGCCTCATAGTGCCCTCGTCAACAGGTCAGCTCTCACTAACGGGTAGTTGTACACTCTACAAGAAATTCAAGTGTGGGACATTCTTTTGTTCCTGCTGTATATGTTCATAATGGGTCGGTGTGGTGTGTGTGTTACTGTAGGATCTCCATAGTGGACCTGGCTGGAGCTGAAAGGTCTAAAGAGACGGGGGCCAAGGGGATTCGAATGAGGGAAGCTGGCAACATCAACAACTCGCTCCTCACCTTGGGGAAATGCATCGAGGCCATGAGACACAACCAAAACAGGAGGTCTCTCATTTCCCTTCTCCCTCTCTCCTCCCTCTCTTTTCCGATTCCCCACACTCACAAGTATCGCGTGTTCTCACCTGCAGGAGAGGAGAGGAGCATATTGTACCATTCAGAGAGAGCAAGCTGACCAGACTCTTCCAGAACTACTTCATCGGGAAAGGGAAGGGAATCAGACAGGGAAAGATCACCATGCTTGTCAATGTCTCCAACAACGCCTCTGTGTTCGACGAGACAATACACGTGCTGAAGTTCTCGGCCATCACTAGTAAAGTGAGTCAGGGGAACTATTTCGTGTGATGTCATTATGATGTAATGGTCATCCAGATTGTCCCGATAGTGAAGGAGACTGTGCTTGTTAGTCAGTCCCGCCCACCTCCCTTGTCTCGGGTGCTGAGGTCAACTGTCCGACAAGCCACCACCGCTGCAGCGACTCCTGCAGTGGGGAAATCCGGTCGAGCCCCTGTCGTTAACGAAGATGATGAAAAGACAGTCGAAGCCAAGAGGACAGTCTCTATAGTAGTCTGTGAACGGTGTGAGGTATGCATGTGTGTGCATACAGTCAATAAGGGGAGACCTTTGTTCAGAGGTGGCCCTTATTCCGAAGTAGTGTGGGGCGGAACCAAGTACCCTTTATAGCGAGGGGTCCTGGGGGTCCTATAGGTAGCAAGGGGTCCTGTATTTGACCGGGGGGTCCTATAGGTTTCACTGTGTGTGTGCTGTAGTTGAACTGCTCCCCACTGGATCTGGATATGTGCAGGCAAAGAAGAAAGAGGTCTCGAGGCTCCGCAGGAAGGTGGGTGACCTGGAGGTTGAGAAGATGGAGAGCGAGTATCAGATAAGACAGGAGGTGTGTCGAGAGTTCCATGAACAGCTCACCGACATTGAGGAGACACACAGGTCAGTCCTCCGGTCTATGTACAACACACTTTGCAATACACTGAGCCGTGTTATGCTGAGTCATTCTCTTGCGAACCAATCATTACTGACACCAACCCCCTCTCCAAACACACATGCTTCAAGGACCCTTCAAATAATATGTATATACAAATCAATGAGGTCCCACAGCAAAGGCAAAACAACAACACCCAGGCCAACTCAAAATGAAGCACAAAAATTTTTTTTAACTTCCAAAGCTGATGATTAACGGAAACGTTTTGGGCATCAGAAAGGTGGAAAATGTACTATAGTACATACTAGTAGGGTACGGATGTGATGTGTGTATATATATAGGGAGGAGTTGGAGGAGCAGGCAGAGGAGATGCAAGAGATGTACGACAAGAGAATGGAGCTCCTCCAAAAGTCAATGAAGAAAGAGTTCAACAGAAAACGACGTCGCATTGAGGCAGACGAGGAGGGGGAGGGGGATGGGGAGAGAGAGAAGAGAGGTGGACCGTCTGAGGGGCAGAGTCTCACGCCTGGAGGAGGAACTCCAGTCAGAGAGAGAGCATAGTGAGTATACACGGTACCCCCCCCTGATTCATCTGCCACCGCTACTTGTTCACCTATACCCTCCATGTTTCCTTTGTGTGTACATTACGATTCTGTAGACGTCACGCTCTCTGCTGAGATGAAGGACGTGACAGAGACCCACGAGAGCAGAGTTACACGACTCAACCAGCAGATCAACAGCGTGTCTCTCAGAGCAGCCGAGGCAGAGGGCCAGGCGATGCAGCTACAGGAGGAACTGGCACACGCCAAGAGTGAAGCAGCAGATAAAGAGAACATGCTACAGGAAAATCTGGCCAACACCGAAAGAAAGGCAGAAGAGAGAGAAAGAGAACTCCTTGCTGTTCAAGAGAGGCTGGACAATGAAATCAGAGCTGTACGTACTGATCTGGAGGAGAGGGAGAGTGTGCTAGTGGCAACTCGAGCAAAGTTTGAACTAGAGCTAACTGCTCTCCAGACTCAGCTGGCTGGGACTAAGGAAGAGGCTGTGGACACTGGGAGTCAACTGAAGGAGAGCCAGGACACGTTCAGTGATCTACAGACTCAACTGGCAATGGCCGAGGAGGAAGCAAGTGACAGAGAAGAAAAACTGCAGGAGAAAGTCAGAGAACTGGAATCAGAGCTGGAGAGAGCTGAGAGGGAGCTGGCAGCGGTTGTAGAGAGGGAAAACGAACTGAGGGAGACATGTGGGACCCTCCAGCTACAGGTCGAAGAATCAAATGCCCAGTTGGCAGAGAAAGAGGCTGAAAACGAGGCTCTGAGGAGCGATCGACTCTCCCTCATCTCAGAGTATGAGTCACGGGAGGGGCAGCTGAGGGAGGAGATTGCAGAGTTGAGGTCCGAACTGGGGCAGGCATCGCAGGCAGAAGTCTCTGGCCGACTGGAGAGAGAGTGGGAGGAGAGAGTGCGGCAGGCCGAGGCTGGGAGAGAAGACGCAGTGGCTGAGGTGGAGATCCTGCAGACCAGGATCAGCGAGCTCACTCGGGATGCAGAGCAGGAGACGGTGCTTGCTTTGGAGGTCCAGCTGCAGGAGAGGGTGACTGAGCTGGAGTTAGTTCAGGCAGCCAGCAAGGCCAGCTCTGAGGCAGCACAGGGAGAGATTTCCAGTCTTCAGGAGCAAGTGGAGGGTCTAGAGTCACAGCTATCAGCCAGCTCTGAAGCAGCACAGGGAGAGATCTCCAGTCTGCAGGAGCAAGTGGAGGGTCTGGAGTCACAGCTATCAACCAGCAAGGCCAGCTCTGAGGCAGCACAGGGAAAGATCTCCAGTCTGCAGGAGCAAGTGGTGGGTCTGGAGTCACAGCTATCAGCCAGCAAAGCCAGCTCTGAAGCAGCACAGGGAGAGATCTCCAGTCTGCAGGAGCAAGTGGTGGGTCTGGAGTCACAGTTATCAGCCAGCAAGGCCAGCTCTGAAGCAGCACAGGGAGAGATCTCCAGTCTGCAGGAGCAAGTGGTGGGTCTGGAGTCACAGTTATCAGCCAGCAAGGCCAGCTCTGAGGCAGCACAGGGAGAGATCTCCAGTCTGCAGGAGCAAGTGGTGGGTCTGGAGTCACAGTTATCAGCCAGCAAGGCCAGCTATGAGGCAGCACAGGGAGAGATCTCCAGCCTGCAGGAGAAAGTGGCGGGTCTGGAGTCACAGCTATCAGCCAGCAAGGCTAGCTCTGAGGTAGCACAGGGAGAGATCTCCAGTCTGCAGGAGCAATTGGAGGGTCTGGAGTCACAGCTAGTGGAGAAAGAGAGGGTGTTAGCTGCTCTCCAAGCTGCCAAGGCTGTCCAGACTAGTGAAACGCAGGCGAGGGTGGGCTCTCTCCTGGAACAGGTGATGTTGGTGAAGGTTGAGCTCAGCAGCAGTTGCATGGAGCTGGCCGAGAGGTGTGGAGCTCACAGCCAGCTGGTCCGGCAATTGGCAGCAGGGGTGGTGGGCGAACGTGAGGCACTGCAGAATGAGGTGAAAGAACTGCGGGCACAGCTGGCAGCTCAAGAAACAGAGCTGAAGGCCAGGGAAACAACAGCAGGCGAGGGCCAACTAAGGGAACAGGTTAGTATCTCTCATCTCGCACACATTGTGTCTATAGATCACCACAATGCAGTGGAAAGACGTTGCCTCAGAGAAAGAAACCACTTCCTCTGAGGGAGAGGAGATGCAGAGTACAGAGGAGGACAGCGGTGCCGACATCCATCCAACCTCTACCATTGATAAGTGAGCCGCACCAGCCAACTCTGGATAGCCGTCTGGTCTATCTTGTAACGATGTTGTAAACTGATCACCTTCTGATTACAGGGTCCCCTCCCCGTCTCCTGTGCCTGAGGGTCTGCCCCGCAGCGACTCCAAACCCCGTGTTGCTGTTCTGGAGCGCAGCTCTCTCCTAATGGAGGACACCTTCACTGACACCACCACCACCAGAGTTGTTATCGATGCCACACCCCCCATTGCGAGGAAGCGTGGCAGGAAACAAAAGCTCCCAGCGAAGGAGAATATCGAGGACCTTCCTAGCAAGAAGTACCCACGGAGAACCAGAAATAAACCCAAGAGATTTACAGAGGTACTTTTACCTCCCAACTGTTTAAATATCTTTCCACTATATATATAACCATTGGTTGAAACGTCAGCTTTATACCCTCTATGTACATCCAGTGTGATGGTGTACCTAGTCTGAAGGCTCTTTTACCGCGACTACGGCCGAGCAGAGACAAGAAGGTTCTGAGCTCTGCCCAGCCCTCTCCTCCCCCTCCTCCTTCTTCCCCTCCTGGACACCAATTACGGGCAGCTGAGAGAGCGACACGGTCCATTAGGACCACCAGACTTCCCATCAGAAAATCTCAAATCTCTGGTCCTCTGGGTCTGCCCGGGACTGGGAGTCCAGTGAGTTTTTAGCATCACACTGACAATCATCATAATAATAGCTCTCTCCCCCTTCCACAGGCTTTACCACTGTCAAGGTGTAGTGTAGATATTGGGCCAAACGCTCCTCCACTTTACCATGACCACCACTACTAACTACACCTAGCCTCGCCTCTCCCTGTTCATTAGTCCTGGTCCAAACACTTCTGACTGTGACCTTCAGCCATTTTGTATATATGAATACACACACACACCATTTGTTCACATACATCATTCTGTATATTATCTGAGGATTAACAATGATTATTAGTTTTTGTGCTATTTGCTGTGATCAGTTGAAGATAAAGTAGCTTGCAGTTCTCCACTTTCTTCCAACTCCTGTAAGTATGTATATACCATGGACAAGTAATCTTGCTATAGTACACCCTACTTTGACAATGTCCAGGCCGCCAATCAGTTGTCCGTTGACGTAGAGTTGTGGGTATGTGGGCCAGTTGGAGAATTTCTTGAGCCCTTGTCTCACCTCTTCGTCTGAGAGGATGTCGAATGTCCCAAACTTGACACTGAAACAAGACAACAAAAACGTGTTTAAAAACCTGCATAACTGTGGTGCTGGTGCCACAATGCATGTCGCATTGTAACAAAATATGTTGCCACTAAAAGACTGAAAGCAGCACCACGCCATGATGAAAAACGGTGGTTCTGCCTGACATTCAATAATAATTATATTGATGGCTGAATCGTATTTTGGCTCTCCTATAGCTCAGTGATTAGTGAACCAGCCGTCTATTTGGGTCACAGGGAGGGAGTCAACTTATTGTTGCATGCGACGGATCACCTGTTGTCCTTGAGTATCTCGCAAATACTGCGACTGAAACCACACTGTGGACTCTAAGGGGGTTTGAAATCAGGGGATATTGGGGGTGTGGTCTCCGAGACATTACATACCTCAACTGAGCCTTTCATGAACAACACGACATGTTCTTGATTTATCACCTCCTTCAGCCTGGCAAACATGAGACAGTTTACCAGCACAAAATGTCTGACATACTTATACCTCTCTTCCAGTGGCCTTGTTCTTGGTAGAAGCTCCTGCAACTCTCCACTCTCCTTCAGTTCCTGCAGACCAAGGACAACACTACCACCTTCACCCCCAGTAAGTCGATACTGGGGTGCAAATAATGTCACTGTTTGGTGTCCCAAGCTTTTCACAAGCCGGTTCCACAGACCTACCACTGCACACACACACAGTCAGTAGGGTATACATAGTACCTTCAGTATGTCCAGACCTCCCACCAGCTCTCCATTGGCATAGAGCTGTGGGTAGGTGGGCCAGTTGGAAAACTTCTTCAGACCTGCACAATAATGGTAGCTAGATCTCACTCCATAAAACATGCAGTAGAAATGACTGTGTGATCCTAACTACGATTCTGCTTGATATCAAGGAGGGAAGGGGGCAGAAAAGCAGATTGGGATCATCACCTTGTCTGACTTCCTCGTCAGAGAGGATGTCAAATGTGGTGTAGTCGGCACCGGCCTCGTCCAGGAGAGCCACCACCTGTCGACTGAACCCTACAGGTTGGGGGTGTGGCTTGGTCAGAGGGGGTGTGGTCAACTGAGGGGAGTTGCATACCACAGCGTGGCTCCTGAGGATTTCCCTTCATGAACAGAATACACTTGGACGAGGTAGTTAGCCTCTTCAACCTTGCGTTCACGTCCTGTGTGTAATAGGATATTCAAGACTGCATCACTCACTTGCTATATATACAAATGCTTCACATTCACACAGCATTAATACCTCAGTGGGTATGGTTTGGGTGGAGTCAGCTGGAGGAGGGGGTGGGGCTACCAGGTCAGAGTGCACAGCCGTCTTCTTCGAGAGCTCAGGGACGTGTGCGCCATTCACCCTGTCTACCATTCTCCCTCCCTGCTCACCAGGAGAGAGGAGGAGGTGAGACACTTGTGTACATGAGCAGGTGGGGCTCTCACTTTCAAATAGATGAAGGTTGGGACTGCCACTACTTCGTGCTTCAGAGAAACTTCCGGAAACTCTTCAGCTTCCACCTACGGTACATACACGTCTGTATGCTCTCCACTGGCTCTCCCCTCTGCCTACACCTACCCTGATAAACCTGACTCCAGGATGCTCCTCCGCCAGCTCGACCATTACGTCATTCATCTGCTTGCAAGGCTGAGACCACGGAGCCCAGAAATGAACCACCACCAGTCTGCGAACGCGCATGACACACAGCGGCTCTATAACTAGAGACGTTCCTCACCCTCGGTACAAGCCGCAGAGGCTCTCCAGATCGGAGCCTTTCTCCAAGTCTTGCACGCTGTTTGAAGACATAATTGTTTCACTTCAACTCACGTCCAAAAGGTTGAAGGTCAACGTGATGTTGCGCATGCGCAAAAAGCCATCCAAAGTGACCATAAAAGATGGCATACACACACTACAACACTACAAGAACGAACACACAACAGTGGCTTGGCTTTATTCAGTCTCTCTCAGGATGGATGGCGACAGCATCTTTCACTGCATCTACAAAGTACTGTATGTTTGCAGAGTTGAGGCCGCAAAGACTGATACGACCGCTCTTCATAAGATAGATGTGATACTTGCTGATCAGGTATTCGACCTGGGGTACTGAATGGAGAAAACAACAATAGAAAACTGGTTCTACCAGTTACAGAACCAGTTCCCCGACCTGTTAGTCCAGTGTAGGAAAACATTCCCTTCTGTCTCAACATGTGGTCCCAGCGTACTCCGACGGCCTTGAGAGCCTGGTACAGCTCCTGTCGCATTCCCAGGATCCTCTCTGACATTGTCATCAGGTTTTCCCTCCTGTGTATGTATACAAACACACATATATTCACTCAGATCAGGGAATAATCGTGAAGCCTATCTTTCCACAACACAGCCAAATTCCATCTATACTCCCAATCCCAAGTTCAGTGCATGATGTTCACCCACTTTCTATATGTCCTCTTTTTAGAATAGTGACACACACTCATAAGCACGGTAGTGTGTCAATGTATGTGCATAAAGCCTCAGCAGATGGGGTCTACAATTTAATACTAGATGGTGGAGCGGACTGACCATTCCTGGAGGAGAGAGGGGTTATGGAGGATCATGGCGACAATCCGAGCCCCGTGGTGGGGGCTGTTAGACCAGAGGGCCCTCGCTATTCCCACCAGCTGAGACCGGACGGCCATGACGGCCTCGGGGCTGCTCAGCACCACACACACCTGACCCACTCTCTCATCTGGCA